TATAATTTTTATTATTTCTTTATTTTTGCCTGAACTGCGATATACGGTATTTCGGTATTTTCTACATTTTTCTATTTAGATTTAAAATGTATGCATGTGTGTATTATATATATATATATACACACACTAGTATTTCACTATTATATATATCATAGTATTTCACAATATTACTGTTTTACTGTATTTTTTAACAAATAAATACAGCCTTAATTACATGAAAACATGTAATTACTCCAAACTTTGCCTTGTAACCCATTCTTTATATATCTACAAAATAAGTCATTTTATGACTCAGATCATGATGGTCACGTTGTATGACCAGTGTTGGGCAGGTGCAGACAGATCTTTGAGGTGATACTGAGAGTTCCTTCATGCCAGGAGAGTGAACTGAAATCACCATGACATATTGGTACACCAGGGGAGTAATGTGTGTGTGTGTGATGAGAAGACATGAGCCTCAGACTGAGTAAATATCTGAAGGACGTGTTTGTTTGATCCTTTCCAGAGTAAAAAAAATGGCAAGGATGAGAACACGACTTTCTAATACACTGTCACTCTCTTTTTCTCACGCATGCTGTCTGCATGTCTCATTAAAACAGGTCTGACCTACTGATCTCCCGCTGTGGAGCTTGAGTAGAGGGCGATTTCTCTGTGTGGGAGAAATGCCATGAGACATCCACTCCATGCTGGAGTTCAATTCACTTCAATATTGCAGAAACAGAAGTGAGGAAATGAAGTAGATAAAATCTGATGACACATGAAAGGCCCGTTTCATGTCTTTATTATATGTCTATCTTTTGTTTATATTGCTTTTTAAACTGACCACTTTTCACCAGTTGTATATAGTTACGCCCACAGACCACTCGTTTTCACTAACCGTCTGATATTGCACACATAAACATAAACTGCTCATAGTCATAAGTCTGACTACATGAGTACTGATTTTCAAGCGTGACAGATGAAGAACCACGCAGTATCTTCTAATGAAGAAGTTTGGTTTGGCTGACAGCTTGCGGTGGCAGTATCTTTAGAAGAGTCTATGAATAAGTAAGCATTGAATTACAATGATTGAGTCTATAAATATGCAACTGTCTGACCTTTCAATCCATATGCACTCTTGATACAACTTGTGTATTGCGTCTAATCAAAAGTGAATATCCTACAATTCAAAGAAGAAAGCATAGAGGAGATCAAAGGCACATCACATCAAAGAGATGCATTTAATATGTCACACGGTTGATGGCAGCACTTCTGACTTGACTAGAGGGGAAAAAAGTTATACGCATTCTGTAAATAAGCCATGAGAAAGTTATACATTTTAAATAAATACTAGAACTGGCAACAATATTCAAGGAGAATTTAGTTTAAAAAATTGCAATTATATCTCTGGTTATGAAACGAAATGTATGTGTAATTTGATGCAGCAAAATTGTGGTGTTTAAAATGATTGCCAGTTCAAATAATGGGTATTTGAACTGCCACTTTCACCCTGACGATCCCTCTGTTATCTACCACAGGTTAACAGCTGGTGTGGAGACGGAATTCGTTTAACTTTACATAACCTCTACACACAACAGGTCTTCAGTTAAGTCCTATAAGGTAAAGTAAGTGTGAACTTCTCAAGGCTCTGTAGAATGAACTGAAGGGCACCGGGCAAGACAAGCCTCCCGAGGGACTTTTGGGTAATTCAGAGTAAATGAAGAGAAATGAAGCGTACCCTTTAAGCTGCAAACAATCTCTCCTCTCCTTTATTTTTTAGCATAATCTTCCTTCTCATCTCCACTGCCCTTCACTCAATGGCGGACATGGGAATCGTTTCCACTGATGAGGATCAGTGGAAGCAAGAACTCTGCCGCCTTCCACCTCTCAGGTTAATTTTCAGAAGGCTTGATGTGACAAGGCAAGTGATGATTTACACAATCTCTGTTCTATCACCTTATTCATGTGTAAATGTATGCACATGCATGTGTACTTTTAGAACATGAGAAGTGTATATATACTACAGTTTAAATGATTTAATGAAGTTAATACTTTTATTCAGCAAGGATGCATAAAGTTGATTAAAAGTGACTGTAAAGTGTTTTTATATATATATATATAATTACAAAAGATTGACTATTTCAAAGAAATGCTGGTATTTTGAACTTTCTAAGAATCCTGAAAAATAGAAATATTAGAGAAATATTAAGCAGCACAACTGTGTTCAATATTGATGAGAAATGTTTCTTGAGCACAGAAGCAGCATAATAAGATGATTTCTGAAGGAGTAATGGCTGCTGAAAACTTATCTTTGCAATCATGGGAATACTTTACATTTAATAATTTACAAAATAACAACAGTAATTTTAAATATTAATAATATTTCACAATAATAATATAAACACTTTACAGTCAAGGTTGGAGTTGAATTAATTGAATTACATAATAAAGTTAGAAGTTAAGGAAACATTATAGTAAATTGAATAAGGTACAAAAATATGTTTTTAGATATGATAAATCTATAGGTTATGTTACACACTGTCTCTTAAGATATGGCCTTGATACATTTCTGGCTGCTATAAAATAAAAAGGTCAAGGTTTTGACAGGTTAACCTAACCTAATCCACTTGAGCACCTTCTAGTAGATACTTTTCAGAAGTATGTGTGTATAAATAACATATACTGTACATCGCTGAGATTCCATTATACTGTACTATAGCAGATGTTTGACCACCGCCTGATTGTTTTGAACATCTGTATCTTGCACTCTGCAACATTGTGCTTTTCGTAGCAATGCTCAATGGTACAAGTTAATGTGCTTTTGTAATATTCTGACAATATTTTATAAATGATTTAAGATGTAGTTGTTTCCTTGGGTGAAACTGACTTGGACATTTTTTACATTTTTCTGCTGTCTTTGACCTCACTGCTCAGGATAGCGGCTAGTGAAAGGCTTGGGACATTGTATGCTCTTGTAGTGTCATAGTTGCCGTGACGTAAATGCTCATGATGAGGAAAAGATGGCACATTTCAGATCATGAACTACCATTGAAGAATAGCTTTCTCCAGGTATTATAGACCTCGTTTTATAGAAGCAGAGTGAAGCTTTTCCAAACTGAGCTTGATTCTTTTCACTGTCAGTCAATTTGAGGAACTTTGTAAACGATAATGAGCATACAGTGCTGCTTGAAAGTTTGTGAACCCTTTAGAATTTTCTATATTTCTGCATAAATATAACCCAAAACATCATCAGGTTTTCACGAAAAGTCCTGAAATTAAACAAAGAGAACCCAATCAAACAAATGAGATGAAAATATATACTTTGTCATTTATTTATTCAGGAAAATGATCCAATATTACATATCTGTGACTGAGTGGCAAAAGTATGTGAATCTCTAGGATTAGCAGTTAATTTGAAGGTGAAATTAGAGTCCATCTGTTCATTGGTGTTTTCAATCAGTGGGATGACTATCAGGTGTCAGTGCGTGATCCAATATTACATATCTGTGACTGAGTGGCAAAAGTATGTGAATCTCTAGGATTAGCAGTTAATTAGAAGGTGAAATTAGAGTCCATCTGTTCATTGGTGTTTTCAATCAGTGGGATGACTATCAGGTGTCAGTGCATGCCTGTGCCTGTCACAGTCAGGTGACTGTTTTATTTAAAGAACAGCGATCTATCAAAGTCTGAT